TTAACAGAACTGCTCAAGATAGAGTTACAGAAAACCAGACCCTTAGTGTATATTTTCTGGGGGGAAAAAAAAAAAAAACACCACACAAAAAGAAATACTGCAATACAGCTCCACTTTAAGACTCTACATTTTCCATTTATTTAGATAGCTGAAAATTTTAGATAAAATAAATGCCAGTTTCGTCACGCACACATCCCATTCTTCAGCATCTCAGCGTGGCCTCAACACTTCTGGACATTCTTGCATTTAAAAAATATTAAAGGCAGTTGCTAAGTATGACAGTAATAAACCAGAGGAGAGTCGGCGAAGCTGCAGCACCACATGCACAGTCTCAGCCCAACGTTCAGATGACACATTAAAGTCTTGCTAATCCAGACACCGCTTCCTTCAAAGTGGGGTTCAATATTATCATGTACAAATCAGCATTTGCTTTATAAAATGTAATGGAAAATGCTAATAAGATTTACTTGTGAAATGAAATTGGATTATGTCTTATCTATTTTAACTTGATTTGGTACAGTATTCCTTCTTCATAAACCAGCAGCTTCAATTTCTTTTTCCCCGTCCCCCCCTCCCTCCTCTCTCAGAATTCAGGCAGACAAATGCACCATGGATTCTCAGGCCACCATTTTTATAAGGGAAATTATGGGGGACAGACATAAATTAAGTACAAATTGTAGATTATGCAATACGAAGCAGTATAAAGAAAAACCTCATAGAGTCATTAGCGTTATAATTTATGTGCTGTAAGGCAGATAGCAAGCTGGTTGTTTATGTACGGCTGGAAGTTGCCCAGCCAAGAAACTTGAAATTCAGAAAGTAATTTAAACCTGGTAATTTTCTTGTACATGCTTGGATGACTGAACAACCGCTATATGCGATGAATATCCATATTCAAAATTATGCTTATATCCACCGTAACCGCTCAGGGCTCATTGATACGTTCTATTAACTGGGCACAATAAAACCTTGATTTATTCTACAGTTATCAGGTCTGCAGTAAAGAACGTTCCTTTTAATAACAGGGAAACAATATTAAAAATTGTCAGAAGCAGTGGTTAAGCCATCGTATTCATGCAAACGCAGTGCTGTACCGTCACCGTTCCGGGCACTGCAGATGGTATGTCAGGACGTCGCTGTACAAGACGCGGTGGAGGGAGACAGGGATGGCACAGGGATTATTCGGAGTCTGAGATGAAGCGATGCTCCTACAGCACGCGGCCACCCGTACCCCATCCCATCCCGAGGGCGCAAGAGCAGGGGGCGAAGCCGAAGCCACACACGTGACTTCTGAGAGCGTTTTCTACCATAAGCACTACAGGTGGGAAAGGCGATGGGAATTTTGTGACACTACAGGATGGCTGTAAGAGGAGAGGAGAGGAGTTCAGTGTGACATTCACAGCTTCAGTGCCACTTGCACCGAACCGTCTCACGCAAGTGGAGTTGGAGATGCGGTGGATGCGCCTGGCAGGTGGGCACAGCATCCCTGTGCCAGACCTACAGCTGCCCAGTAACACCAGTGTGGGCGAGGAGCCGCAGAGCCGGTGCCAAGCCCATGTGGCAGGGCATTAGCAGGAGAGTTTAACAAGTTTGCAAAACCAGAGAAAATAAAGGGATGGGATTTTTTTTTTTGGGGGGGGTGGAGGCAGAAAGCCTTGCTTGCTCTTCATTAGTTTGCTAGACAAATGAACAGATGTTCTCTTAAAAGAAACGGGACTGAAGAACATTCGACTAAGGACATCTGCCCAACCCAGGGCAACAAAAAGACCTGAAGGCTTCCTCTCTTCTATTTCTCCTGTTAAGATCTTTCCAGATTTAAAACTTTAAACTAAATTTGATAGACGTTTCCTGTCAATAGCGACTAGCAGACAAACCACAGCTCTCTTAAATGAAGGATTTAGCGTTTCCTGGCGGAAAGCTGTCCTGCCAGGCCAGCACAACAGGCAGAATTCCGCCAGTTTGTTTGATTGTGCGCGCAACACCCCTTTTTGAACTGGTCCGCCCGCACCGAGGGGCCGGGAAGTGAAGCCCACCCCAGCACATCCCACCCACCGCAACCCCCGCACCCTCGGGGCGAGCTCTCCCAGCATCGCCCACCTCCGTCCTGACCCTCTCCTGAACGCAACGAGCTGTTTTTCTGCCTGGTCAGAAACAGATGAGCATCATCAGCAGGGAGCAGATGTTGCCGGCGCTTTTGCATTGCGCTTAAACAGCCAGGGGACAGCGTACACGGCCAAACAGAAGCGCGTTAGCGATTAGCTGACTGCGACAAATCAGTCACTTATACAAAATATTTCCGCTGGAGCCAGATCCTAGTTTTACATCACTTCAATTTTATTTCTCTCTCCCGTTTTCTTCTTTAGTTGTAAGAAATATTAAAAAAAAACCCCAAACCCCGAACTCTACATGTCCCCAGTGCAGATTTACAAGTTTGCCTGAATGTGGCATAATGCCATGTCCACACTACAGCCAAGGACTCTTCCAGCTTAGCCCGGGTCATCTAACCAGGACAAAGATCAGCTCGGACACTTTACTCAAGGACTTCCCAAGTTTGTTGGTTGATGTAGCAGTCTGTCACATGTTTCTCACCGCAGACAGAGGTCCCCTTATGCCGCGGGCACACCTGAGCGCCCCTCATTTGTGCTACGTGCCAAGGAGGAGTATGATGTCCTGAGCCTGCACATCCTTCGGCACAGCCGCGTTGTTTCTCCCATTACCCCCTTGGCTCGGTGTTCAGGGAGAGCAAACCCCATCCCACCTGCATCCCCCCCTCCTCTGCCAGCCGCACCGGCATCCCCAGTCCCACGGCGAGCCCTGCGCTCAGCCTGCGCACCCGCAGCGGCGGTGCAGGAACAGCCCACCACTGCTCAGCTCTACTTCCCAACGCCGTCAGAGCTCGTCTTTCCCGCTCAAAGACGCCTGACAGACTCGAAACTCGCATTGAGAGAACGGTGAACTGAGGTCAGGAATAGCTCCAGCTTCGACACGGCTTGGGGTGCAGGGCACGCGCCGACGAGTGCATCAGCTGCACATGGCGCTTGAGCTTGAGCTCTGGCTTTGGCCAGCTAAGTTGATGCTTTTAATGGAACTAGGATTCACAAAAGTCTAGACCCTGGCTCAGAAGGCAAGAGAGATTCTGTGGGTTTACCACCTGCTCTGTGCTCTTTTTTTTTAAAGCAAAAACACAAACCCAAACACCAAAACAACCACTAAGCAGACTTACCAGTTCTTCCCTTGCTGTGAACACTCCCAAGGCATCCGACACAGCTGGTTTCACCCTTATTTTGTAATACCCTTGTATTTTAATAACACAGATGCGATATTTGTTTTGCTAAAACTAGACTGAGCTCACCATTCCTTCTGGTCCCTACTGCAAGTTATTTGTCTGACAACACGAAGCGTTTGAGTGCAACCTGTGTGAAAGGTGTCACACCAAAACACCCAGGACACACCTACACAAGTATCTGCACAACTTCTCTCCTTGGCAACATACTGCGCAATAAGTAATGGTCGCTTGTTCCATAGGACATCATCCGCTGTGGTTTGTCCTCCCACATAGCCCCTAGTTTTTAGGGAATTCCTGCTTTCGGGAGTTCAGCACAGCTGATGTAGGTGGAAACACATCAACGAGGGCAAAGCAGCAGTGATGGGCTCTGCATGAGCCTCCTCGAGCTGCTCTGGAGCTGAAGTCTGTCCTCGTGACTCGTAGGGCAAGGACTGATGCTCACGGCTCGTTACACCAGAGCCTCGGAGCAGAGGGACAGCAGGATCTGCGCCCAACATCTCCGGCCTACGTGACCAAGCAGTGCAGAAAGCCGTCTGCGGGACCCAGCGCATGACCGAGCTATTCTATAGCCATCAGTGCATTGATCCACCACGTCCCAGGATATCACGAACTCCAAGCACCCTGATGTCATGTAAACGAGGGGAGTGAGTCAGCTCTTGGATGTGGGAACATCCCATAAACACCTGGTAGGACAGCTACTGCCACCAGCGACCCCCCTGCACCAGCCCACCCCCCGCTCCCACCGCCACCTCCGCAGCAGCCGACGGGCTTTGCTGCCTGCAGCACATCTGCAGGGACAAGGTCTGCGGAGGGAGACACAAAGCTGAGGTCTCAAAAAATTACGGTCAATAAAGATGCCACAGCAGTTTTCAAACCAGAATCTGTTCCAGATTACCAGCCGGGTAGTTGTACGTAACCTAACAAAGTTAATTAGAATGAATGAAAGCAATTTTTCCCATTTTCTTTCCTATTTTTCCTTCCCCCCACCATGTTGGAGGGAAGAAGAACACTGTTCTGAATGATTCATGCCATACCAAGTGCTAAACCAAATTCAGTCCCAAGGCAGAAGCACCTCCTCAGTGTGACAGTCCGAGGGTCAGACCTGAGAGGCTGCGGGGACAGGTCATGGGCTGCTGTGGCAGTTCCTGGCGTTACCATCGGGACCACTACGGCAGAACTGCACACCAGCAAAGCCCTCCTCACCTTCCCACCCGGGCACCCGCACCAGCAGCTTGCTGCCTATACTGCGAGCACTTCACATTTCCACCGAGATGGATCACCCAAATTGCCCAAACAGAATCTCAAAGTTTCTCATCTCCTTATATTATTGCACAACTGCAGCAAATCAAATCGGAAACACTTCAGCCCAACAACCACAGCGGTCCTCAGAAGTGACTCGGATAATTACTCAAAAAATTACTCTAAAACCCGAGCGTCAGCACCACAGCCCAGCGGGAGCACTGGCTACAAAGCCCACGCCGGCACCACCATCCTCTAGCAGAAAAAGGGAGGATTTGAACCTTAATCTCATTTTCCCTTCCTTTGGTGAGACTACCACGTACATCAAATAGCGCAGATCATTTCGCTACTGCAATGCAAAACCCAAACACGCTCCAATTTCACCACGAGCAGCAGTTCTCTGCATTAGACTTTTCTTCTCAGCCACGTCCCGCTTCTCCATTGGATTTAGTGATTAAAAAACAACATGACTTACAGTTTACTGTGACTTTTACTTTTTTCACATCTGGGACTGAGACATCATTTTCCGCACTGCATTCATATTCCCCAGCCTGGTCTCTTGTAATTCCATAGATGTCCAGGTACTGCCCGCTCTCAAATGGTTTTGCTGAAATGAAATAATTGGAGAAAGAAATTACTGGAAGCTGAGCACAGAACACCCAAAGCTCCACCAACATCTCCACAGCAGCTAGAGGGCTTTTTCTGGGTGCTGCAGGTAACACATGTCCAAGGGGAGCTGGGCCACCACGGCAGCTTCTGTTCAGAAATCCCCTGAGCTCCTGGGCTTGGCCAAGGGTTAGGTCGGGTCCTCTCCTGCCCCTGCCCCTGCCCCTGCCCCACAGCCAAGCTCAGCAGCCTCCAGAGCCACAAGAGCAACTTGCTAAGGCAGCTCTGTACCTGGTGGGCTTCACGGAACACAAGGCACAGTCCTCCTTCAGAACCTTGCCTTAAGAGTTTCAGCAGCTGTTAGGGCTTACGATTTGCACCTGGGTGGACATCTGCCCCCCAGCAGCCAGCAGAAGCAAAGCCAGTGATCAGGGCAAGCCGCAGGGACAACGAGCCCAGCCCTGGAGCAGCTGGTCCACCCCTGCTGCCAGTGGCCCCAGCACCAGCTTCCCATCACAGGTGCCCTCACTTCCCAAGGACCACATGACCTTGTCGCTATTCACTAACCAGCCCCACACGAAGGGTGGTAGACCTCACCAGCTGGGGGCTGCCTGCACCCCGAGGGCTGCCAAAGGCAGGCAGGGAACCTGCTGGGGGGGACCGGCAGCCGGTCATCTCGAAGGGGTGGCCGTGGGTGCACATGGGGGGGTCATCCCATGTCCTACCGCCAGGCAAAGAGCCCTTTCAGGCTTGCTCACCACACCACCCAGTCCTTACGTGTGTGCTCTAACGAGCGTTTCATCTTCTCAATTAAAAATTAAATAACAGCTCTCCTCTCCCGGAGGACCCACCCCCAATGAGTAAGATTCCCGGCGTTCGCCTTGCTACGCGGAACCACGGACGGTCAGCGGGAGCGCTGCTGAAACCAGGGAGAGGTTTGTCTGATGTAAACCAACGTGAAATATGTGACTCTTTGGTATGTTGTATCTGAAACTATTAACTATTTTAGAGAGCAAGAACAGTGATACGACTCAAGAGCTCATTTATCTCCACTTGAGGTGGATGCGTAGCACACACGGACGTCCGTGTAGCTTGCTTACTCCCAGCATCTCCCAGCTTTTCCCTGCTGTGGTTCCCGCCTCGCAGCGAGCACTTTTGATATCCGTCAGAGGCAAACTGCCACCTGGTTCAACGTTCATCTTTCTGCATCCGTTGAGCAGTGCGCTCCAGGTGGGGAGCAAATGAATTGTTTCACATTCCTCATAAGGCGTTCGCCACATAATAAACCAAAACCTGTTAAATATAATTTTTATCTTCAAACAATGCATCACGGCAGTCATGCCTACACAGGGTGGAAATTGCAGGCCTGAAGGTTAAAAAGACTTGCTGAAAAAGTTTTCCCACACAGACAAGCTTTTAATTGACTGTTAATAACTGTGCAACTTACGGAGCAATGACAAAAATCTGAACTGGGTAGTGAGAACTCAGTAGCAGTATTATGGCCACGTCCATCACGGCAGTGAATTTCATTTGCTTATCTCTTCACAGATTAATGTTTTAAAGTGCGCAAAGTTCAAAACATCAATTATAAGAGTGCATCGCTTAGCAAGATAGCGCTCATTAATAAGCACAATATGCCACGCCCGTCACGGGAAAGAGCCCCAGTAAGCACTGGTTATGTAAAGTAGAAAGATAAGACTGAAATTGGAAAATTATTGTGAATTGAAGTGAACATTCATAAAATGCAATGAAATAATTTGCGGGATATGAGACATTGCATGAGGAATTAATTTCTTTCTCTTCCGTGTTGTTCGTAGGAATAAATTACAAAAAACCCCCTTCTACAACCGAAGCCGCTGTTACTGTTCACATCATGGCCCTCATCCTGCTCCACTTTGGCCAGGTTGAATCATTTTCTAGGAAAACTTTATTTACTGTTGCTTTGAGGAGCAGTGAAGGATGCAAAGCCCCTGCCTGCACTGGGGCACCTGCCCGGGCAGAGGAGAGACCTTCCAACGAGACCTCTTCTTTGTTTCTAATACCAAGAAAATGATATAAAATGCAAAATTCTGTGTGTCAGGTTAAAAATGACTATTAAATTACGAGATTGTAATGCTCTCCAACGTCAGTACTTCCCCGCATATATGGTGTGCACCAAAATATCGTGGAGTGGATTCTGGGAGTATTTGATGTATCCTATCCTGATCAACAACCATTTGGAAAAAAGAAAAAAATTAAATGTCAAAAAAATTAAATGGGGCCAACACAGCCCCACTCCGCAGCGACGACGGAGGGACGCATTTATGCGTTTGGCACAATTCTGCTATGGCACGAGCAACGTCAGCCCTCAGGGCGGGCAAGAAGTCATCTGGCCAGCTGGAGAACATGGATGGGAACCGTATCGGCAGGGAAAGCCAAGGGGGGTCCCGTGTCGGCGCGCCTCGGGGTGCCGCTGCGGGCGGAGAGGGCGGCACAGCAAACGGCCACAGCTGAGTGGAAACTCGGTGGGACTTCCCACAATAATTCCCGGAAGAATGATTTGCAACAAAATGCCCGTCAGCGCCCTTCATAACCCTTCGGATTCAGAGGGATCGTACGCTGAGCTATTAACCTAATTTATGCTGCGAACTATGCACACACTTTTACAGGGCTGTAAACCCCACCTGTTTTATGCAACTCACATACGCATCTGAAAATATGAAAATTAAGTCATTTTTAAAACCCTCACGGCCCCAGGAATTTTGCATCTAGATCACACAAGCAAGCTTTTAGTAAATATTAGAGATAAATATTTTTCTTAGGGAACAGATAGACACCACGTTTCATCTCTCCTACTCGTCTGCACAGTATTTCATCTTCTGCAGCTTGTTGTCGGTTCTAGAGATTTCCCATGGCTGTGTGGGAGAGCTCAAATCGTGTTATGTGAGAGGTATATGCATAAGTACATGTAAGCGTATTTATGTTGCATTGCATACACATCCGACTCAAAAAAAGGATATTCCTAAGCAGTAGGGAGAATAAATTGTGCATGAAGATACTGGTGAATGAAGACGGGTTTCAGGAGACAGCTCAGTTTTCTCACTGTTTTTTTCCGCGGTGTCTTACGGCCCCGGGGTGACCGCTCCTTGCTCTGCCCTTCTGCAGACCACGGGCATTTTAGGGACATATTGAGACATCAGGATCACGTCTGGCTGAATTGACTGGCCACAGAGCCAAAAGACTTATCAGATTTGGTGTCTGAGAAAAAGAAATCTGGAAGGTTCATTAGCACCAGCCCAAGGCCGTGTCAGCCAAGACCTTTGATCAAAGATGGGAAAAACTGTCTGTTGAAGTAAAAGAAACATAACCACGAGAGTGCCTCGTGTCTGAGGCCATTCCTGATGGGTTTTTGAGGAGATGTCCCAGCTAGACTTACCGATACACATACTGACATGTAAGTAATCTGCTCTGGATATCTCAGGTTACGGGATCAGGTTCTCCAGCCAGGAAGGGAAACGCCTGTGAAACTAAGCTCGACTGCCTGGTTTCTGCTACTGCCATGTGATATGATGCCTGATAAATCATCACACTTGTTATTCCTCAGGAGAGTACACAATTATAACTGTGTTTTCCTACCACGCATATGGTATCTGGCATCAGGTGTAGCACACGTACACATTGCCATATGGACCAGTTCTCAGAGGCTTGGATGGATGGTTTTTGCAAGGGTAGTGTTTTCCTCCCCTGGTGTTAAACATAAGTCAGTAAGAAGAAAAATCTGGTGCAAGTCCAGGGTAGCTCCAAAAAACTCTGAGGACTTCATCTGAGCCAAAGGGAATATTTTTTTTTTCTTATTCACTAGGATATTAAATAACTACAATACAGCCTCAATTTAGGACTGGGAGAGTGGGGAGCGTGAGGCTGAGCTGATGCCAGTCCTGGTTTATCATGGACTCAGGACACTTCACAGGTGGACATGAGAGACTGCTCGGAGGCCAGTGAATCGTCTCCGCAAGAGAGGAGACGCGAAGATCCCAGCATGGGCTCGTCCTCACGTATGCTGCCTCAACGATGAGGACTGGACTCAGTGTGAGAGAACAGAAGGTGGTCTCCAGTGGCGATGCCATCGTGATGCCACCTGATTATCACCAGATGCTTTAAGTGGCCTGTAATCCATAAGGTCCTTCTTGGTCTCGGAGGCTGGGAGGAGATGCAGGATCAAGGGTGCAAGGAGGCACCTGGAGATGAGTTGTTGTGGGATGCTGAGAACAATCTAAAGTCAAAACAATTGGATTCACACAGAAAAATGATCTGAAGCCATTTCTACTACTCATTATGGATTCTGGGTTTGAAGTTACACCAAGCGCTGTAATTGGAGAGCATGTAGTCCTCTCCAAGGAACCGCAGGTAACCTGAACAGCTCGCTGCCTATTAGGAGAATGGCCCTATCACATTAGGGACCATTTAAACATTGATCGCTGAAGGCCATTTAGCTTTAGAGAAGCCACGCTCCACATTTGAAAAGAAAAATCACATAAAATGTACAGGAAAAAAAAAAAACAAATCCAAAACTGACAGAAAAATTGAGGGCTGGAGGAGATCTCCCAGCTGACAACATGAAACATGAAAAGCAATTAGAGCAGTTTGGAAGAAAGGCGTGCTGATAAAGAAAAGGGATGTGCGCATAGATCGACAGAGCTGCAAGTGTCAGAGGCGCAGACGAAAGGTTCCCTCTCTATGTGAAATATCTGGGTACGGGGAGCGGTGTTCGGAGAGGCGGCTGTGCGCAGGCCCACAGCACGGCCACGGGAAGCTCCGCCGGTATCAGGAGGTGTTATGTGCAGAGGGTGGAGGTTGGTCCTCCAAGAGAAGCTCTCACAGTCAGTTTTCCTCATTCTCTAAATTTACATCAGTTTCTGTCCCTGTGCAGAACCGCTGCCATGCTGTACCATGGGTCGGAGATTCGCGGAGTTAGGATGTTTTGGAGGAAGTCTGAATTTTCTCTTTGCAGACTTCATGCCA